GGCAGTGACAGCTGATATTCCAGCACCATTAAAGGACATTAAGTTGAATGGGAAAGTGTTGACGCTTCTGAAAGATTTCTCTGTGAGGAACTGAAAGAAGGTGGAAGATGGGAGAAGAAAATGGGAGAACAGTTATTGTATGGAAACAAACAGGTGGTGGTGGTGATGAGCCATGGAGGGGCAGAAAGGTAACCAGCAGAAACACATTCACAGGGAAATACCAGTTTATTATATTATTTATTTATTTTTTTAATTTATATGCCACCCACACTACCCAGAGGTCTCACACCTAAAAAGATCACAAAACAGAATGGATCAGTGCAGTACAATAGTCCACATGAGTAGATTGTGAATCAGTGCAAATAGAAAGAAAGTGGAACAAAAAATACACCACAGGTAAGTGGTCATGTGACCCCTCCCAAAGAAAGGCTATTTGTCTCCCTTTTGATGCTGTAGGTACCACTTCCAGTCTTGCATTGTGTGGACAGCAGGAAATGCGGTATTGCCATGATGGTAATTCTCCTTGAAGGGAACTACTCATGATCTGCTATTGCTCTGAATTTAATATTCCATTTCCCCCTAAGACTGACCTTTTGCAAGTACACATTTATTCTCAGCTCCACCAGCAGAATGCACAATAATCTCCAGTCTGAACAGCTTGACTCAACTCTGTGGACATCTCATTTATTTCCTCAGGGTAGTGAGTATATTTGCCTTACAATCCCATCAGAATGGAGGATAGTGGTACATTACATATAAATGAGAAATGCTAAATAATTTGCAGTGCCAAAATAGTATCCTTCTCAGAGGGGAAAAAAGAAATTAAAGCTAGGCAGAATGTGAATCCCAAATATTCACTTAGAAAAATAATATTAACCACTAGAGTCTACAGTTATCAATATAAAGGCAGAAATGTGTGTGAGATAACATGTTGTCTGCAAGTATTGCTCACTCTATGGACCAGCTATTCATCAGAGTTAAATTAAAGTACTGTAGGGATAACAATAACCTATTCTGGGAGCACTCCTGTAAAATGAGAAGCAAAGAATTGTAAAGACAGGAGGACTGCTTTTTGTGTTCCAGACACTATGTTGCTGTCCAACTGCATTAAAAAGTATAGTGTCCAAAGCTCTATTATGTTCTAGCAAGAATGCTTTTGAAATAATATATCAGGTTTGAATGCCTTTACAAAGAAACCTTCAAGAAATATTCTTCTGCTGAGGGAATAATTACCAACCTACATTGGATCAACACAGTGGATTTTTTTCTTTGGCTTTTCTTCTATTGTGTTATTGGTTTTATGTTGTCATCTTGGTTGATCGTTACTTATGTTTTCTTTTGTTCAACACCCAAAGCAGGGTTTGACCAGGAAGTCAAGTGGTATAAAACATAATAAAATAATTTAGGGCACTATATTTTAAGAAAGACATTGTCAAACTGGAGCACTTCCAAATGAAGACTATCATGATAGTGAGTGGTCAGAAAACCAACTCCTAGGATGAACAGTTGAAAACAATGGTGGCTTGTGTCCATTATAGCTGGTAGAGCAGGGGGCAGGATGGCCAATGGACAGATCTTAGTGGGCAGTGCTTGGGTTAATAAGCAGAAACACAGGCAATAAGCATATAGTTTGAATATCATAGCACAAAACCTCTAATCAGAACAGATATGTTTCCCTTCCAGCAAACACTAATTGCATAGAAAGGAAAACTGAGTCGGAGAGAGAAACAAATTATTACAGCAAAATTCTGAATGAATGCTTCAGAGATGCTGATCCCCACAACACAAAAAATTGACTCTTTTGACCCCCTTCCTGCTCTTACTGTAACAGAAGCCCATTACACAGATAGGTAAACAGAGACAAATGGCTGATAACTTCTTAAATAACACAAGTGCAAAACTGCTGATTTTCCATATAAAACATGAAATGTGTTTTGTAGAGGACTGAAAACTGGTCCATAGATTGTCAGGTTTTTTTGTTAAAAAAAAAAAAGAACTCAAGTGAATGAAGGGCACAAAAGTCCAGGTATATTTAGATCTGTTCTGTGTGAATTGGTGGCAAGCGTTGGCAAATATAAAATTTTGAAACAATGGAACAGGTTACATTTTATAAACAGCATTCCAGTGGTCCACCAATATTCAATAAACCATCTCCATTGTCCTGCTATTTGCAAACAAATGTAACTGTGTCCAGAACAGCTTGGGGAAAACCTATCAAGATAAAATTGGGGGTGTCAGAGTAGACTCCCTTTGTAAGGTTGGACAGTAACCAGTGTAGTATAGTGGAGAACATGGTTCCCTCATCTGGGGCTCATGACTCCCAAGAGGGGTTGCAATGTGTTTTCCTGAGGGATTGCTGCTGTTACTTTTAGTTTCAATCATTTTTATATTCATTATATTAAATATGGCATGCATCATGCTATTTTATTTTAATTCTCTTTACTCTAGAGTTCTTAGTTATTTCTGTATCTCTTTGGGCAGATTTTCCGTTTATCTATGGGAATTATTCCTACCCCCCTCTGAAAGAGCCACTCTTGCTCACTTCTCTCTGCTCTTCCGCACCCAGGTTTGGATGACTGATGCCAGTCCTTCAGCCGTGAGCATTAGCCTGGATCAAAGAGGCGTGGTGCATGCTGGGAATGCTGATGCTTAAGATGGCAGCAGGATTGAAATGTTGCTGTTGCTACGGTGGCACCAGTGGTGCCTTTCGCTCTGCCTGAGTCTCCCACTCTTCTGGGCGCAGTGATGGCAACACAGTGAAGGGAAATGGGACCTGGCCAAGGAGATACCTCCAGGCTCTGCCTGAATCATGGAGGATGAAGACAAAAGGGGCAAAAAAAGGGAAGGAGGAGAACCAGGGAGAGGGTGGGGCTCACGGTGAAGTCCATAAGGGGAGGTGTTCATTTGGGCTTGAAAGGGAGGGGCTCTTCACTGAGGGACCTTTTTTTGAGGGGGGGGAGGAGACATGAAGTCTTTACCACCTCCAAAATATAATTTAAACTCAAAGTGTATTGACATTTTTTCTCTTCTCAAATTTGATAGAGGCAGATTTAAAGCCTGCCCCATAACTATGTATTACCACAGTAATATTAATATAGTTGTTGTTTGGAATTATATTCTTAAAAATCAGTTTTAATGTGTTTCTTTTACTCCATTTAAATGCATTTTATGCAAATATGGCAGGTGGGGGGTCACAGGTTACTTAGCTATTTTTAAATGAGGTTTCAGGTAAAAAAAAGGTTGGGAAACACTGGGATAGAGTGATAGACTATGACTCAGGAGGCCTGGGTTCGAATTCCCACTCAGCCGTGGAAACTCACTGGGGGAACTGAACTGGTAAAACCACTCCTTAATATCTCAGTTACTTTGAAAGCCCTATTAGGGTTCCAATAAGTTAGTTTTGACTTGACAGCACAGAACATCCATGTAAGGTTGGACAATGTGAAAAGAGGATTACTTGGTCCATGAGAGTCATATGCTCTCAGCAGGCAGTGCATCTGGTAACCTCAGAACCCACAGACAGCACAATTTGCTGCGGTTCACTTATTCACAAATTAAAGCAGAAGGACAAATCATATATGCAAATGGTAAATAGAAATAATTTTTTAAAAGAAGACAAAAACATGATGTTACCCTAAAGACTTATATTTTTTAATGTGAGCTTTTGTGAAAAAGTCCACTTTATCAGACACAAGAGAAAGAGATTCAACATGTCAAATATTTATACATGACATCAAAATATAGATATCAAATATAGAGATTGTGGTTGGTTGGTGGGAAAATCAGTGGATGGATAACATTGTGGTGATAATGTCTTTGATTGCAGTTCTTTTACTGAAGCTTGTGTTGTAAAGAATGTGAGAACCTCTGTCATAAAATAGCAAAGGTAGAGTAACAGGTGCCACCACTTTTTAATTTCTATTTTGCTTTTTACCTATAATGCTTGCACAGACTAACATGGCTACCCTTCTACAACTACAGCTGTGAAAATAATAAATGGTGACTATTTACAACCAGCACTCACTCAGAATATAATGGATGTGATTTTTTTTTGTCCCTTGAAATTTTAACAGGCGGAATAGCAATAGCTTGATAGGCACAAATGGCAAGAAAAGATATTTCAGCTAAACCTCAGGAGATATCTGAACAGTGGAAGCCCTTTGCTTCACGAGCTGGCAGCAAGGGGTGTCCTCTTAACCAGGAATACTCGGGGGGGGGGGGCTCAGTGGCCAGCCATCAGGAATAGTGTAGTTGCAAGATCTCTGCATGGGCCAACATGTAGGACTAGGTGACCTCCAACATTTCATTGCAAGAATCTTTTTGGGGCCACAAAACACAAGTAGGCATTCACACAATCCGTTTGTGCTATTTGGCGAGTTGATTGTTATGCACTCTTTTGTGCCCTGGCTGTATAATCACAGCACACAAAAATGTAAAAATCACTTGCAAAGTCACCTTTACATGATAAACCTCAACAAAGTTTTGGCCTATGGTTCTAAGAAGTTAGGGATACCCAGTGTAGTGTAATGGATACAGTGATGAACTAGGACTCTGGAGATCAGTGTTCAATTCACTACTCAGCCATGGAAACTCACTGTGGGTGTAGAACAGGTAAAGCCACTCATTAAATATCTCACTTACCTTGTTGGATTTGCTATCAGTTGGTTCTGACTTGACTTGAAAACAACAATACACTATATAGTACACTATTCACATTAATGTGACTGAAATGTATGCAGGAAACTGATAAGAAATACTGTATGTAGCTCAGAGGGCAATGGGATAAAGATGGTGTCTGTGCGCTTATTTTGCAGACTGCACACTTCATGTTATTATGGAAGAGAATAAAGCAACAGAATAGCTATTCATATTCATGGGTAATGAAAAGTAGATTTTTTGGGAACACATCCTTCACTAATTCACACGCATCCCTGTTAAATTCTTGCTGAATTACCCTTTTGAACGTCCAGGTGTTTATGCATTTATTCATGTTTCTGCAGGACAACATGGAGAAACACAAACATAGAGGAGAATGAAGGGGTGAATTCAAAGGTGAGTTTTAAGGAACAAAGAGGATGGTGGCACAACGTATATATTTTGAGGGAAAGGGACTTCCAGGCATCAGAAATAGCATGTAGAAACAGGGACAACTATGTTAGAAAGCAAGAGGAAATGGGGAAAGGGGGAGATCAAATGGTTAAGGTTAACAGAGAGCTTTCAGAAGGACAAAGATACTAGTGCAGGAGTTTGACATGCATTCTTGAAATATCTGAACATGTTACAAAAGACATGGAAAAGTTGGAAATACAAAAGCAAAGCAAAACAAAACAAAACAAAGACAAGAGCCAGAAACGTAGCACCTTAGAATCTGCTATATGTGCTTAATGTGAGCTTTCATGAATCAAATCCACTTCCTTAGACATACTGAGGAAATAAAGGTCAAACAACGGCACTTCACCAATATTCTGAATTCTTCCTGTTTATTTTGTTTTGTTTTTTGTTTTAAAAAATTCCTATCCTTTGCCTCTAACAATAAAGAGTTTCTGGACAGTGTCTGCAAAGCAACCAACATGAATTTGACCCAACTCCGGGAGACAGTGGAAGATAGGAGGGGCTGGCGTGCTCTGGTCCATGGGGTCACGAAGAGTCGGACACGACTAAATGACTAGACGACGAATGGTGCAAAGATGACAAATACAGCAATAGAAAATATAAACTAGGTAATAATGTAAAAACATACAAAAGTAAAACAGCACAAAAAAGACTAGTAATGACAGGTTTACTCAATTGTTTGAAAAAGCCTGGAAAATTTCAAGAGGAATGAGAAATGTGTTTGACTGATGTAGAAATGACTTACATGTAGGCACTGAGTTAATTGTCCTGGTTAAAGTATTGCGAAGCTGTAAGACTACCACTGAAAAACCTCTTTCTGGTCAAAGCCACCACTGTATCTAAGACTATGTGGAGAAGAGTATTGGTTGAAGCAGTGAGGACAAACAAAGTGATGTGTTTGTCATTTTTCTAGAAGAAATGTTCCCCTCAAGTGGTAAAAGACATTTGTTGTCAGTTTGCATGGTTTTCCTTGCACTTCTATCTGGCACATGCTTTGTTTTCTGCTTGGTTCTAAGAAGGTAAACAAGGGCTTAATTTTCATGTCTGATTGCTAGGGCAGTATATCCAAGGAAATCACAAAGGAAGGAAAACAAATTAATGGAGGAAATGAATGTTTTCTCCAATGTCTAGTTTGACTTCCAGAGACTTAGCTTCAAGTATGGGAAGGCTCTGACTTCTAAATGTTGTAGGACTGCCATCACCTACAACCATCTTAAGCAATAGCCAAGACGACAGAAGTTGTAGTCCAACAATACCTAGAGGTGATCCTCAGTTAGTCTACCTCATCAATAGATGTCAGACACTGTCAAGTTAAAATGGTGCTGAACTAATTTGTGCTCAATCTGCCTGTTGTTGTTTAGTTGTTAAGTCGTGTCCAACTCTTCATGACCCTATGGACCAGAGCACGCCAGGCCCTCCTGTCTTACACTGCCTCCCGGTGTTGGGTCAAATTCATGTTGGTAGCTTTGAAGACACTGTCCAACCATCTCAGCCTCTGTCATCCCCTGCTCCTCTTGCCTTCACATTTTCCCAACATCAGGGTCTTTTCCAGTGAGTCTTCTCTTCTCATGAGATGGCCAAAGTATTTGAGCCTCAGCTTCAGGATCTGTCCTTCCAGTGAGCACTCAGGGTTGATTTCCTTCAGAATGGATAGGTTTGTTCTCCTTGCAGTCCAGGGGACTCTCAAGAGCCTCCTCCAGCACCACAGTTCAAAAGCATCAATCCTTCGGCGGTCAGCCTTCTTTATGGTAAGAAGCAGGGGTGTTTTAATTTCGCGTCTGCTGTCATCATCTGCAGTGATCATGGAGCCCAAGAAAGTAAAATCTGTCACTGCCTCCATATCTTCCCCTTCTATTTCCCAGGAGGTGATGGGACCAGTGACCATGATTTTAGGGTTTTTTATGTTGATTTTTGAGTTTGCCCACCACCCAGTTATTAGATATGTAGGACTGTTAAATTGCTGGACTGCCCAGTGACTTAGTTCTTTGGCTGCAGAGCTGGAAGTTGGGAGTTCAACTCCCCACTGTGCCTCCTTGGGAGGGGTTGTACTCAATGATCCATAAAGTCCATTCCATCTCTGCAGTTCAAAGGTTATTATTATTATTAAATATAAAGGATAGTAAATAGAAAACCAATTTCATGGCAAAATGGAAATTAAAATAATGAACGTAGACTGGAGCTGACATCAGGGAATGTCTGAAGAATGAAGGAAAGGATATAAGCACTGTTAAAACACTGCCCGTGCAGGCAAATGGTATCTACAAGATAAAACAACATAAAACAAAAGTTCTTGGGGCTCTGACAATCCTGAGGGTAATCTTTCAGTTGATTATTTATAGGGCCAGCTGCAGTCCCAACACTGTTCAACCATTAAATGCAAAAGAGGTCTCAAGATGAAATTGATCTGCCATGTAGTGTTAGCCCAGGGAGGCCGCAGAGAGCAGAAAGGAAGGGAGAACAAGGAGAGACAGAAGTTAAGAATACCTGTATAGTTGCAAATAAACACTATTTTAAAAGGACATAAAATGGGCTTGTAGGAGAAAAGGGATTTATGGAACAGACATTTTAAGAGGAAATAGAGCTTGTAATGGACTATAATCTGGCAAGGCTTCAAGTGCCACATTATATAGAGTGGGCGATTGAATGAGCAATAAGCAGTTGTGTTAAAATCTTTAGCTGTACTTTAAAAATAAGGACAAGATGTTTTTGTGAACACAGTTCCTGTCACTTCTGAGCCATGCTTTATGTCAGAACTGACCTACCATTAGGCAGAGTGAGACATGTGACAGGTGTGAGATGTCGTGGACTGAAGTACAGGTTAAATTATTTAGTTTGTTGCTTTAATGTTTTTACTGCAGGAAGTGGGAGAGAAATGTTTGTGCAACATTTTCTGCGTCAGGTGCCTTAAATAACTTTTCTAGCTTTGGGCACTGGGCAACTTAAGTAGGGTTGTGGTGGTGGGGACACCATTCATTGCTTCATTTTAGCAAGCAAATATTTTGGCATCAAGTATTTTGGGCTAGCACTATGCGACTTCCAAGTCCTAGTGATATGAACATCCTGAACCAGAAGAGTTAGAAGTTCCCATATGATTGGCCCTGGATATTATGTCCCACCCCTTCCAGCAAACCATATTCTCCAGTCTAATCACTTATCTCTTTGCTCTTTTCCTTAAAACAAGAGAAAGAAACAGAGAAACAAGATGATGTAAGCATCAGCACAGCCCAAACTCAACATGACAGTGCCATGCCAGCAACCAAATGCCTCCTGCTTGAATACCTCAGCTCCTGTATTCACAGGTCTGGATCTCCTCTTTGCCCTGAAGCCCCTCTTCATTCCTCTCTATGCTATACTGGTGACTGTGGCCTGCACAGGAAACCTCCTTCTTATTGTCCTTATTGGTTTCACAAAAAAGTTGCACAGCACCACCAATTTCCTTATTGGCAACTTGGCAGCAGCTGACTTGATCATGTGCATTTTCTGTGTGCCACTCACTGCCTCCTATGCATTTGAGATCCATGGATGGCTCTTTGGGATGTTCATGTGTTACTTTGTCACCCTCATGCAAGTGGCTACCGTATTTGTGTCTGTCCTGTCCCTCACAGCAATTGCTGTGGACCGATACATGGTTGTCGCTTACCCCATCCGCAAAAGGATAAGATGCAAGTCCTGCATTTACATGGTGGTCTTCATTTGGGTGCTTTCTATTGTGGTCTCCCTACCCACATCCATGCATACCCATTACCTGGATCTCAACAGCACTGGCCATGACATGATCATCTGTGAAGAATTTTGGAAACACCACGAGACAGAGAGGCGACTCTATTCTTGCTTGATGCTCCTCTTGTCATACATGCTCCCACTGTCAGCTGTGTCTGTCTCCTACTGTGCCATTTCCTGTCACCTTCAGAAGAGGAATGTCCCAGGAGCTGCATGCCACAACCAGGAGAAATGGACAAGAAAAAAGCAGAAGACTTTCAGGATCCTAGTTATTTCTGTCCTGTGTTTTGCCTTCTGCTGGCTCCCTCTCCAGGTAGTTAACTTGATCAGAGATATGGATGAAGAGTTTACAATCCTAGACAAAAGATATGTGAATGTTATCCAAGTGTCCTGCCATGTGATTGCAATGAGTTCTGCATGTTTCAACCCATTCATCTATGCCTCCCTTCATGAAAAGTTTCGACTCCGCATTAGTAACTATTTCTATAATAGGAAGAGATCAAACATGATGTCCTGCAAGCTCTCACGGCTGAATACCTGCTCCACTTTGCCAGATAATCCTGTGGGCCTATGTGAAAAAATAGCACTGCAATTAGAGCCCAAGCATCATTTTGGGGGGCCCAATACAAACTTGTAATAGCTGACCTTCCCAGACATGCAGCATAAATGGATCTCATCTTGTACACACAATCTCTTGAATCTGCACAGAAAACCCGCTGTTTGATTTCTGAAATACCATGTTTCCCCGAAAATAAGACAGGGACTTATATTAATTTTTGCTCCAAAAAACGCAATAGGGCTTATTTTCAGGGGATGATTTATTTTATAATCACGTCATCTTCTGGTTGCTGCACAATGCTGCACAATGGTGGAGGGCGGGGTTTCACTTAACTAGGGCTTATTTTTGGGGTAGGGCTTATATTACAAGCATCCTGAAAAATCATACTAGGGCTTATTTTCAAGTTAGATCTTATTTTCGGGGAAACTCTGAAAGTACACCACATGACTCATGCTGGGTCTTTTCTATGGTGTCTACTCAGCTGTTGCTATCCTTATTTATTCTAATACACACCATAATGAAGAGTCCCACAAAGCATGTTTGTTTGTTTGTATATTTATTTATTTATTGGGTCCAATAAGGAACCCAGATGGATTATTTTGTATGATATGCTATTTAGCCTCAGGGTTCAACCAGACATGCCAAAAGAACCCCAGTTATATTGATTCTGCTCTTATTGAAATCATTTTATATATTTCCATTCACATGATGCACAGGTAAGATAAACTCATTTGATCCGTCAATCAATTTTTTTCCATCTCTCTGGCAAGGTTGTTTTAAAATGTACCAATCATGTATCACTTCAATCCTTATCATTTTAGAGTGTGTAAACGTTGCTGTCAATTTATTTACTTTGTGAAGGGTTCAGGTTTGGGGCATTGTGGCCACTTCATGGCCACTGTGCTTGTACCTTAAAAAATCTTTAAAGGGATATCAATCGATTGCTTGTTCCAGAAAGAGCAGCAGCCACAAAAACAACAATACATTGCTCAGAAGGAGACAGCTTCCTCACCCCCTTGTGGATGTAAGGAATGAAATGGGAAAGATGCCTTTTTAAATCCTGCTCTTCACAGTACTTTGCAAGTTTTTGCAAACCCTCTTCTTCCTCCCAACACTGTTCAAAGGGGAAAAGAAAAATGAAAGCTGAGAACTGAGAGGTATGCAGAGAAATTAGGGAGGGAGGGAGGGAGGGAAGGGAAAAGGGGAGGAGGTGAGAAGGAAAATTGGGGAAGAAAAATGGAAAGGAACTGAGAAGTGAAAATTAAAAAGGGAAGGATGTTAGTGCTGCAGGTGACATATACCACCAAGTTGCTTATTGACTAACAGAAGTGACAGGAAAATTGTGATATGTCACTTACAAATTATTTTTTCAAACAGAAAACTTTAGGACAGTGGGGATCCCCAGAAACTGAATGGCAAATGAATCAATTTATACGAGATGGCATGTGTAGCCTACAAAACCAGTACATAGCAAGAAATGTACCCACTGAACTGACAGCTATGTGAATGGGCCCAGGGGTATATATACCACTGGACTGCATGTAAAAATGTATCAGTACCTAAAAGGGATGAAAATAAGTTATTTTGGCATATGTGATTGAGCACTAAGTTGATCCTCCTCCACCGAGGTAATGAGCTTGTAAGTTAGAAGGGTTGTATATAAGCCCTGGTGAAATGTTCACTCTCTGCCCCTCCAATTTGGAAAGCTGCTTTTAAAAAGCAGTTCATTTTGAACTCATTACAGCCCCAAGTAATGCATTACATTTTAAATTACAGATGTTTTCATAGTGACTTCATCTGTTACTCACTTTTTTGTTACTAAAAAACCAGACAAATTCTAGGATTCCTAAGCAAATGGCATACCGCCTGAAAGAAAAAGCTCATAATACCCTTTATAAGCAACAGGTTTGAGCTAAACCTGAAGGAATTGTTAAATACAGTTTTGTACATAGCAATAAGTATTTATCAGAATCACTGCTGTAGAAAGAAGCAAGTCAAGAATTTATACAGCTGAGTTAATTGTAACAGCTGAGAGAGCAATCCCAGGATTGGCTAACCCTGGGATAAAGCTAGCAGACCTAGCACACACACTCTTTGGGTTGGTGTCGTGTTGCTGTGCTGGAGTATTCTGGAAGAAGCTGTGTCTTTGTGCTGTATATTGGGAGAAGAATTCTGGCTACTGGACTGAACATATGGTATTTGACTGCTGAACTAATTTACAAGGACTTTGACTCTGATTTATCCATTGAACTCTGTGAAAACTGCTGTGTATGACTTCGGGACTGGAAACAAGGACTAAGCTGTACTTGTATGTACAGTGGTGCCTCGCTTAACGATTGCCTTGTTTAGCGATTAATTCGCATAATGATGTGTTTTTTTAGGAAATAATATGCACCGTATAACGATGTTTCCTATGGGCGATTTTCGCTTAGCGAAGTTTGGGACCATGCTTCGCATAACGAATGCGATTTTAGGTCCCCTGCTTCACTTAACGATGTTTCTTTTTTCAATTAAAAAGGTGTCTTAGAAGGGTCAAAAACGGTTCTAAATGCTTGGATTCGTTAGAGGACCCCCTAAGTCATGTGCAAACCTGATTTGGCTTTGATCTGACTTTTCGTTAATTTATGGTTAATTTTTTTTTCCGGCCCATAGGAACCAATGGACCTGTCAAAATCTGACAGCTCCATGCTTTCCTATGGGGGAGAAAACAATTCGCCATAAATTAATGAAAGTTCAGATCAAAGCCAAATCAGGTTTGCACACGACTTAGGGGGTCCTCTAACGAATCCAAGCATTTAGAACAGTTGCTGAGTCTTCATTAATTTTTTGTGAATTTTTTCTTCCCCCATAGGAAATAATGGAGCTGTCAGATTTTGACAGCTGTCAAAAGTTGGGGGGAAAAATTCACCCTAAATTAACGAAAAGTCAG